GGCCGCTTGTTTACCTTCAAGCTTTTAAGACCCCAGACACTATATCTTTAGATAGCTGGGCACCATCAGCTTTCTTCACCATATTCAATTTTCTTTTTACATGGACAATGCCATTTAAATAAGGAACAAATAGTGCATTTGAAACAAGTGCCCTTCATGAGGTGTCCATGGAATCAAGTAACAGGCACCAGAAGACCCAAAACCAAACAACCCCCCCTTATTATTGAGAATGAGGGGGGTCGGAATAGGAACCCCAAGCCCATCTGTAGACAATGGGACATCCCCTCACAGAAGGGTCGCAAGGAAGGGAGGGGTCAACCAGGGCGCAGTGTAGCACCAATGAAAAACACAATATTCCTCTGGTTCTTTGAGGTTTCATCACTCCCCACTATCATGACCCCAGTCCTGCCTTTCAGTTCTGGCTAGACCAGAGCATGTGCACTAGTACAGAAAAGAGCTCACAACACACAGAATCCAGGTCAGATAAACCCCTCAGGAACAGAAGTGGGAGTAGTAATAAGAGGAGGGTAGGGAGAAGGTGGCAGGAAGAGGGGAGGAAGGGGGAACTGAACCAATTCTCTTCTCATTAACTTCCCCTCCCTTCCTAGGGGGATAAACAACAAAAACATGGGTGAAGGGAGGCAGTGGTCAGCGTAAGATATCAAAATAAAAATAATTTATAAATTATCGAGGGGTGGGAGGGAGGGAAAAAGAGAAGTTGCTATCAAGTGCTCAAATACAAATAAATGTTTAAAAAATGACGATGGCAACATATGTACAAATATGCTTGATACAATTGATATATGGAATGTTATAAGAGCTGTAAGAGGCCCCAATACAATGATTTTAAAAAAAATCAAGTGCCCTGTAAAATAAAAATATCAATTTACTAGAATTTATCACATTTTCTTATGAAAGTTTAAAAGAATTGTCCAAAGCAAATAATAAGGCACATTATCTTTATGAAATGCAAGGGCATTGATTGATAAGATTAATGCCTCAATTTGAAAACAAAGTTAGAAGAAACGCTCTCTCAATGTTCTTACTTTTCCCAGAGTTTCTCTTGGGTCCTCACTGCTGCCAATTCTAACTTTTAGACCAAATACGAGGACTTTCTTCTAGGGCTAAAACCCAATGTGTATTTGTATGTCTGTGTTTGTTTTCTGTCCCTTCCCAGACCCTACCCTTCTTTACAAAACAATCTCATACAAACTCATTTATTTAATGTTTCATAACCCAAGCTCTAATGGAAGACTTTTTACCTTTCAACTGTATTTGCAAAGCTATCTTTGACTTTGACTATAGTCCTTCCAATCAAAAGTAGCACCAGCCTGTCCCTACTCGATCACTGAGGACATAGGGGGTGCATTAGCAAAAGTGGTGAAGAAAGCAGATGGTGCCCAGCTATCAAATGATACAGCATCTGGGGTCTTACAGGCTTGAAGACAAA